GTAGTAGTAGTAGTAGTAGTAGTAGTAGTAGTAGTAGTAGTAGTAGTAGTAGTAGTAGTAGTAGTAGTATCTTGAGTGACTTAGTTGGCTACTGTCAACCAGGCTCATTTTTGCATATTTTTGCTGATTGAATTGCCGATTTGGGGTCCAACAGTGAAGAGGTAGTGCCCTCCTATGGCGCAGCGCCATTTCCTTCCTCTCAGAGTCGTCGGAAGTGATGGCCTACGACAGTGCACTGTGCCTGGGCGACGTGTTGGGAAACGGTCGAGATGACATTGTATGAAACTAGGGAGGCCTGCAAGGAGAGCCTCTTCAAGAGTAATTGAGCAAGAGACCAACATCCAGTTGCTATAGGAACTGCAATTTGGGAAAACCCTGCGTGCATTCTGTTTTTGCTGCACGACTGGCATATTTAGAACAGTTGGAGCCGTCCATGTTGCATGGGGTCCTGGGATCAAAGACCATTCCCCACGCAACAGTGCTTTCTTTCCTGGTCCTACCCACAACCTTTTTTGGGGATTGGTAGTGGGATTGGTTTCCCCACTTTTTGACTATGAACAGAACAGGAACAGAACAGATGGATTAGTTTTGATTTGCATGTTCCTTCTTCATGTGACCCGGTTTTCTGTCGACCAGAGTGGTTTTCGCGACGATGCCACAAGACGTACGTGGTTCGGTTTGAAGAGGTGCGCACAGATGGAGAAAAAGGATGAAAGAGGTTAAGCCTCTTTTTCCAAACGGCTCGGGAGTCAGCCTTTCAGGCAACGACGTTTCAGCCTTGCAGGCAAGCGTGTCTCAATGCGGGGGAGGTGGATCGAGGACTCGACGTCCTTTGGCAGTCAGAATCTTGGGCGGTCAGACTCGAGGCGTCGGAAGGGGGTTCTTTTAAAAGGTTTAGAGGCACGGTTTTAAGTCTTTGTTGATCCTTCCTCTTGGTGGGTTTAGGATTCTTAGATGTTTAGAGTCTTAGAGTTTGACGGTCCCGGGGGGCCCGAAATCGGGAAGCGGACCCGACCGGGTTTTCGGTCCTCGGTCAAACTGGTGAGTGCTCTAAGAGCTGCTCACTCGCTTTGTGTAGGGTGTTTCCCATTACCTGTAACAGTCGGTCAACAGTCAGTAAACAGTTATCATTATCATATATGTTATCATCATTTTTGAACAAGGCCTTTACTAACCAATGCATCATCCACTGTTACAGGAAATAGGATGATAGACCCAATTTATACAAAATTTGTTTGAGAACGGGTTGCAACCTAATTAGCCATCATCATCCAGAGATGCCTCTAGGCCTCCAACTTCAGAAGGTAGTTAGACCCCCCAAACCCACACCAAACACCTATTATACACACCTCGTCAGGAGATAGTTGGATCTTTATGATACCCCAAGCTCTGTGGTCGTCATGGCGAGTTCTGTGACTCAGGAAGAGCTTCGATCCCCTGTTTCCTTGCTTTGGGCCCTCTCAGCGCCTTTGCTGCTGTCACAAGGGAACTGCTTGAGAGGTTGGGGACCAGGGGGACTGACCAATGGAAATGATTTCACCAAGAAGTTTAGCAGTGCAGTGAGCAAGGGGATTTCATGGTTTTGGTCAGTTCGCTCGGACCTGCCTGCATAGAGTCTTGTGGGCAAACGTGGTCCAAACATAAATTCAACAGCTCGTGCAGGGGAGCTTGTGCCAGGGGCGGGGCAAACCAACTCGCTCACCACATCAGGCTCAGTAGGCTCAGTATGCCTCATTCAACTGATGCCAAGAGATGTCTTTTAGGTTGGAGGCTGGTACCTTTGATGCCGAAACGGCTTCATCGCAACATCATTCATGTGTTTTTTTTCTGGCTTTTCCGACACAAGCCACTCCTGCTACCTGTCTTTTCTGTGTTTCGGGTCCAAGCCTTAGCCGGAGGTGTGCAAAGCTCCTCAGGCCAAGGGGCAGACGTTTGTATAACAAATTCAGGAACTGTCCTGATGTCCACCTGCACTTGGAGACCCGTAGGGCAGAACACATCAAAAACTCAGACAAAATCAACACCAGACCTTTAGGGAAAAACATTGGAACACATGTTTAAATGTTTAACACACGTGCTTTAAAGATCTTAAAAGCATTTAAAAGCAATAGACAGCTGTCATTTGAAAGACGAAGAGGCGCAAGAACGACACCTGACCTGAAATTCCTAGGTCTTGGCGAGGATCATGAGGATCCCTCACCTGTGTTCTCACACGACACGCATGAGATTCATGATGCTTTTGGTGATTTTTTGACCTCAGAAGCTCCTGGCCTGAGGTCCTGGCGGTGTCCGACCGCCAAGTGCTCCATGAGGCCACCAGGGCGGCGGCCAGGAGTTGGCGTGGCGGTGGCTCGAGGCCCAGGCGCGGTGGCTGCTCCCGGCCTTGGCAAGTGCTTCGAGCTACCAAGGAACAGCTGAACTGGAACAGTAAGAAACAGCTGGGGAGAGACTCCCCATGCCGCACTCAGGTGCCGCAATCAGATCATATCAATTAATATCAGATCCATCCGGCTCACTCTGCCAAGAGTCGATGCATGTTCGGCCTTGGGTTGGTGGTTAAGATGGTGAAGTGCTTGTGCTGTTGCTCGAAGACCTTGTTTAGTGGGAGATTGGTCTTTTGTAGCTGTAGCCTTCTTTGCCATCTTGTCAGTACCTCAACAATACAGTCCTCAGTCCTTGTCACATTCATACCTTCCTCATCCGAGATATGCTTAGGATTGGGGTTGAATGACTGTGCTGTACTACCGAACCGAACGGTATTAGTGGGACACTTTTCTTCCACGAGGCCCACCGACCACCAATCCTTTCAGCGAAAGGTGTTGAAAACGGCAAACGTGTTTGCCAGCAGCGTTCCCAAATCGATGCGCTCGCCCAGGGATGCGGCCATCTTCCTTTATAGCAGCGCGCTACTGGGAGCTGAAGGCCCAGCGCAAGGTGCCTGGATGAGATTTGGGCGAGGTGACGAGCGTAGCCAGGGACAAGCTGTTGACCGATAGCACATGAAAAATCATGAAAGCACTAAACACATAGACGTGCACAGTGATTCGCTCGCATGTGCGGGAAAGAGCGGAGCGAGTGTTGGGTGCTGAGCAGCTCCCCCTTGGCATGTTGGTCCACAGTGGTGCATTTGGTGCGTCGCCATAACTTGGGGAGTTAGCATCCTGGACTAGGCTTTGCTCATGGGTTTCCATTCATTTCGGCCCCTGAAGGGCCATTGTCAGTCCGCCCACCTCCCTGGCGCTCATGTCGAGCTTGTAGACCTTATCAGAAGGCTTGGACGGCAAGCTCTCAAAAAGCTTCTCTCTCCCTGAAGCTGACACCACTGATTTGCTTCGCCAGCGGGACTGCTCGATGTCATGGGTTGGAGCTAAATAGCCCCAGCCAAGGCAGACTAGAACACTTATGGGGATTGCTGCCTAATAACCGATGCAAGAACACTGTTACACTATCACAGGGCTCAGTCACCCTCCAAGTGTCAATGAAGCATCTTCGAAAGTCACTCTGCAGGTGTCAATGATGCAGCTTTGAGAGGCCGTAGGTTGGCAACCTACAATGTCTATGGTGCACAGTAATTTGCAAAGCGGAGCTGTTTCGCAAGCAATGGAGCAGGCGCATCGACATAGCAGTTGCTCCAGCATGTGGGTTGCAGCCTCTCGAAGGTGCATCATTGACACTTGCAGGGTGATTGGGCCCTGTAGGTTGCCAACCTACCAGCCTCCTGAAGACACTTCATTGATGACTGGGTGATTGAGCCTTGTAGGTTGCAGCCTCTCGAAGGTGCATCATTGACACCTGCAGGGTGA